TCGGTGGCTTTGCTGGTACTGATTTCTGCGGACAGCAGGGAGGATGTGAGATGAAAAAGCGAGAGGGGAGCACATGAGCTGCTTTGCCAGAGAAGCAGAATGACAAGTGCTTCCCTCGAGGTGACACACAAACTGCAGAACACGTGGGTCCCACGGGTTGTTCTTCACCCGCGTGCAGACCACCTGCACGAGGCATTTTACAACTTAAGGACCGCTTAGCCCTTGTGCTGTCTTTTCTTGAGATCTGTCAAGGAGATCCCTCCCCCAGCACACCTTCAGCAACAAACCAAACCACACGTAACACCACACGATGAGGAGGAACACTGGCAACAAACCACACAGAAGCCAATGAAGTTAACTGACAAGAGCAATACTGTATTATGAATGCAGGTGTGTGAATCATGAAGCAACAATGCTCCACTTTAACATGAGTATTGAAAAAAAAAAAAAAATCCTCCAAAGAACATTCAGAGCAGCAGCTAAACTAGGCTCTTGTTTCAATGGCTCCAATAAAGTTTCTCTTTCTTCTTTTCCCAAACAAAATGCTGCTGAAACGGAGAAAGACTAGTCTGGGGAAACTGAAGTCAGCCTCTGCAATTACCCACCTTAGGCTTACTCTGGTATTTTCACATCTCAGTGCACAATGGCTTTATTGTTTCCCCCCCTCTACAGACTGCACTGAAAACACTGATCCAGCACAGCATTATGATTCCAGGGCAAAATGGGTACAAGTATAAGGTGTATCACATCCATCCACCCTCCCTCAAAATCTTTCAAAAACAAATGATGCACATCATAACCAGAATAACAAGACTGAAAATTTTTATTTGTACTTAGCACATACAGGAAAGATCAAAACAAATATTAAAAGATAGCATTTGTAAACAAATATATTTCACAAAAAGTTATACATTATCAAATTTGCTCTGAAAAAAATTCACGGTTATAGCTGTTTATAAATGTGTATTTATCAAAATCAAGTTAAAAACTACTTCATTTTTAAAATATCCCAAATGAAGATTCATCCAGTCCAACAACTTCGGAGAGACCACAGGTATAAGGCCTAACTAAAACAAATGTGTGAGTGAAGATGGCACTATGATTTCCAGTTTTTAAAAAAATAAATCAGCAAGTGATCAAAATATCAGGCAAGCCCATTTAAAGACCTAGGTTTGTAAAATATACATTCAACTTTGCAAATGTCTAACTTAAAAAAATAGAGCTATTTCACTGGATTGTCCTCATCTTGTAGTGTACCAATCACGAGCTGTGTTTTTTGAATCCACTCAGAGAAAAGACATCTATCAGTAGGTAGTTTATGCGATTGTATAGTTCACTTCCATAATCACATTGAAAATAAGAAGACAGCAGCACCCTTTTAGCAAGGATTCATTTTCAACATTCTTGCCTTTATAGCAGCAGGTACGGTTTTAGGGGATGCTATCAATATAATCAGTACATCAAAAAAAAGGAATACTCATACTCCGTGAAGTTTTCTTTCCCTATACTTGTTTTCAAAGTTGGGCAAGCACCTCTATTTTTGCTGCAGAACACAAAAATTAAAAACAAATGACATCCAAACCTATGACTAACTCGGTAGGCTCCCTTTGTTGGTAGTCCACAAGCCATTTCGATTGCCAGTGTGAATTCTGTTTTTTCCTCCCTCCATTCTCCTATTTGAACGTCAACTAAAAACCAAAGTTTCTCAAACTTCAGCTATTAATTTGACTTAAAAGAAACAAGGTAATAAAAATAACTAAGGCACAAACGGCTGATCTTCAAGAGCAGGTAGACGGGGCACAGACTCGAAAGTATGGTAGAATGTAAATCCCCAGAAATATTTCTGGTCTTGGGGCACTGAAAATTCTTACCAGCTTTCATGAAAGGTTTTTCAAGATTCTTTTACAACGACACAGAAAACACTTTTCCCAAGAATGTCCATGAACACTAAACAAGGATGGATGTACATACAAAGACACACACTTTATGCACAATACACTCTGAACGTACTGCAGACAGACAAGGACCATGGAACACAACGATCGTCTAAGATGGCAGGTGAAATGAAGATGACTTTTTCAGAGAGTCGTCATGAGTTTATCTTGGTACACCATACTTTGGATTCCTCCTAAATTCTTCCGGTTCTGTTCCTGGATATATCGTAAATTGCTGTCCTCTCCACTTGGGGGGGGGTTCCAGTATGGCCTGTCATCATGATAGGGTGGCCTGCACCATTTGCACAGTTATTGGTTAGTGAGAGATGGAAGTAGACTTAAGAGTGCTACACAGAAACATGAGTTCATCCAGCAAGTGCTACGCGTGCATAGGGTGTGACGGGCAGCTCTCAGCAGGGGCAGGAAACGGTGACAGACCCACGCGTCTGACGCAGAAGCCACTGAAGCAACTGGGAATCTTTTAGCTGATTTCAAAAGGCTTTGAATCAGGGCTCGGGCATTAAAAACCCCCTTTGTTTTCAAGTGTTATAGACCAGTGTTGTGCATCAATGTTCCTGAATCCCAGTGGGATGGTGGGGAGGGAGGAGGAGGCTATAGGAAAACTAAATGCATACAACAAACAAGTAAAATAAAGCATATCACGCAAAATGTTGAGCTCATGAAAATATATCCCTGAGGCCTGAAAAATTAAGAAAGGCAATCCCATTAAGAATGAAAATTGCTCTTCTGTAAACATTGTGGTTCACCACTGGTTCAGTCAATTAGACTGAAGCAGCCTGTAAGTTACATAGTCGCATTTAGTAACACCTAGAGTCTACAGCTAGTACAGATAATTCTCTGTAACCATGTAGTGAAACTTGCAAAAGTACCAAGAGGAAAAATATTTTTTTCCTTATTTGCTCATTGCTGCTTAGAGATATTAACCAAAATAACTCCTACAGTGAGTGTCTCCTGAATCACTGGGGCAAGAGCGGGGGAAATAAGTAAAGAAATAAAAATTTCGAACAGTATTTAAGATTCCCTTATTACTAAACCAAAGTTGCACTTTTTATTTTGGTATTTTTTTTATGTTAGCAGAAATACTGGCAGATTTAGATTTTACCTTTTTTTTGAGATATTCTAAAGTTGCACAATGACAACTGTTAATTGGAATGGTCTTTCTCAGAAGACTGAACATTAAGTTAACTGCAAACAAATAATTTCACCGCAACCATTTTACTAAGACGACTGAGACACAATTCCACATATTATTTCACAAATTATTAAAAAAACCCCATATATATGTAACATGTGTTGCACAGGCAGCTTCATTTCAGCCCTTGGCCCATTCTAGACTTGCATGCCCAGCAGAAATTATGTCATGCATCGGTGGTTTTATTTCAAGTTCGCAGTCAGGTGAATTAAGCTTTCTCAAATCAAGCTATCCAAGGCGCTAACCATCCAACTCTTCGACTTTGACTCCAATTTTGAATAACCTGAAGCTTCCACTTTAACCACACATTTAAATGGCCCGACCTGACTGGGACAAAAGTTCTGAGCACCTTTTCTACTGAGCTTGCACAACTGAGCTTTTAAGTATGTTTTTTAGACTTACAAGCCTAGCTATAAAAAAGCCTTTGTTCGTATTTCACTGACCTTAATCTTTGCCCAGGCAGCAGAGTGGTTGAAGGGAAAGGTTGTCTACACCGATTACAATACACTACTGTGCTTATTTCAATATCACTCTGCTTCAGGGTGAACTATTGGGCTTTAAAATGTTACAGGCTAGTATCGTAAGTGAAGAAATTTTAAGAAAAATTTCAGCAAAACCTCAAATGATTTATAAAATCAGTAACTTCTCTCGGCAATCACTCTTTTGTAATGTAAAATTGTACGTTTTAAATCACACATGAAGAAATGGACAAATAAACCCTAAACCCAGGAAGAATCTTGAACATGAAGTACACGCAAAGTTAATCACCCAATTTAAAGTCTTCTGTTTCTAGTATAAATTTAGTATCTGCTTTAACTGCTGTATGCTAGGACTTTTGAGATGATAATGAGTGTATCTGCTTCTCTGCCTAGTATTTCTAACAACATATTTGCCTTTTTCCTGCATTCTCAGACTCAAACTCGGACCAAATTGTCTTTTGATCCATTTTAAGTTCAGCCTCATCTCCAGAGCCTGCCTACACTAAGAACAAAGCGTACCTATCCTGATGTAAGAATATAGAGATAAAACTGTAAGATGAATAGGAATGAATATTAGGGTATTGGTATTTTTCAGTCAAGACAGTAATTATTTGTCTAAAAAACTGAGTAACCTAAAAAGGTTACTTTATTAGGATAAAATAGTAGCTGATTTTTATCATATGTACATGTGCAGACACATATCCATCAGCAGGTGCATGCCTCCACTGTGCGTTCCACCAAGCTGGTTCTAAACTGGCCTGAATTTCTTCCAAAATTCCTTTTCAACTCAATTTCTCTCATTACTAGTTACAAAATAAAAAAGTATGTGAGAAGATAGCACAACAGCACATATAGGAATATTTCTGTGAAACAGTGTTCAAAGTCAATGTTATGATTTCACTAATTATCTGTGAAGTGCCTGATACACCATTCTGCGTACATGTTATTTTTCCAGATTTCTGCAAAGATTAAAAAAGTGCTGCAATGCAAGAATCTGTTCACTCAAAACCTAACTTTATCCTAAAATGAGTTTCTTCTTGTCTTAGGAGACTAAATACTGATCAAATTGCAGTTAGTTTTATTGAAGTTACCGCGCATCTTCCCATCCAACATACTCCCTTGAGAAATACGCTAACGTTGTATTTCAAATTCTGAATTAAAAATCAACCTGAGAAAAATTTTCATCAACGAGATTAGGACATTCCAAAGTAAAATGTAAACTGAAGTTAATTAATACTGCCTCAACACCACATATTTGTAATTTGTGTTTGCTTTTCATATGCAGAAAATCACCCAATATATCCACCAAAGCTTCATGCCAACAGATTAAGATAAAGAGGCAATCATCTTTTTCACAAAAGGAAGATTGCTTACCTTACATTGACAGGTGTATGTGGATGCCAGTGTGGCTGAGCAGGATGTATATTAGGATGATACTGTGGCTGCAAGTGAAAACATTGAACAGGGTTAATGAAATCACATAAAAACCCCCTATTAACTTTAACTTTTTATTTTCCTGGGGCCATGAGGAACATGCTCGCTCTGAGCCCTAGAAACCCCAGTTTCAGACCTTCTCCCATGTCATTTAGCATATACATGAGACCTCTTGGCGATGAGCTTGCTCCTTAGGACACGCTCATGGGAAAACGCAAAGAAAATTGCTCCTGTTTGAGACACAACCTGGCACATGTAGCACTGCTCATAGAAAGCACATCAAAAGAATGTCAGCTTTAATCAAAGGTGGAGAGTGAGAAAGGTTACTATTATAATAGCAGCCTTCAGGAGGTCACTTGTCTGGCGACAGCATTTCTCACTCATATCCATGAGATCTTGAGGAGAAACAGTGAAACAAAATCACTAGTGGGGCTTTAATACAAACAAGTGTTAAGACTAAGTTCTCATGCATACACTAGTGTGGATGAAAGCCCAGCTTGCTTTCTCAGTAGCACTGACTGCTAGTATCACAGATGAAAACCGCATACGGTTTTTCCATGAAGAGTAGAAACGAGCTTGTTTAAAAAAATAACAAATAAACAAACATTTGACCAGCAGTGAAGTGCTTAAGTGTTGTGATGGGGAAGATAATGGCAACTTTGAACTTGTTATCGAGGATCATCCAATGTGAGAGGCTACTCTAGACAAAAGCATTGCTCACAGAGCAGTCTCCTGAGGTCCAGTATATTCACAGTCTCAAAGATTTTAACCTGTGACTTCACAGAAAGGGAAGAGATGGGAAAGAGGGTGGCAAATTTTAGTGTATTCAGCTTGCAGAGTATCCAAGAACATAGGGGAAGAAAGAGAGAAGAGTCCCTCCACCTTCCCCTTAACTCCCAAAGTGGTGCTGTTTATTTCTGAACCACCTCAGAGAATCTCACCTCAGAGAAAGGGGAGCAAACCAACTGTACTAACTATAGAGAGCAAAAATACTTATTACTGAATAAGAAAATGACAATACTGTCCTCAACAATGGTTATGCTCTTACCTGGTAGTTATGGACTTCAGGAGTATTTTTAGCACTAAGGGGAAAAAAAAAAAAATCTTTTATGTAATCAATACATCTATGTCACAATCTCCTATAGTTCCAAGCTCTACTCTTCAGAGAAGTATTACAGTGAAGAAAAATTCATATTCTTAAGGACAGTAATATTTTATTCAAGATATACATCACGGCAATTAGTGTGCAAGAGAAGTGCAAATTTTTTTCTTCATTTTACATTTACGAAACAGGAACGAATAATGCTACATAAGCTAGCATAATAGCAACAAGCAGAAAAATACGCTTTACTTTGGTCTGATCAGTCTCCAACACAAAAAGAAAAAAAAAATTTTAAAAAATTGGAGTACTTAAAAGTCTCACAGGTAGGCCCCATGAAGAAGCTGGTGCTGCGTAACAAGAGATCCCAAAGCAATTCATCCCACAGCAGAGAATGTGTTTCGACAAATCCTAATGCAGAAATGGTCCTTAGAATCCTATTTGCCTGACAAGAGCAATTGAGAGGTAGAGAGAACTTGGGCAGTCACTTACCACAGTTGTGCTGCTTTCACAGGATTGTTTGCTTAAAAAGAAAGAAACAAACAAAAAACCCTTAAGACAGGTGAAAAAAACCTTAAGGTGGGAAACATCAGTCATTCTGCAGCTATTGTGACTGGGATGTTACACTACAGCTTAAGCGAATCCTCACACAGACACATTTGCACAGATGCATCAGAACTGCAAGTGCAGCCCTGTGCTTTCTAGCATTCCTGTGTGAGCACATCAAGTACGAGGCAGACACAAACACCCCTCTGTTTCCGCAGGAGTCAAAGCCCATCAAAGATGACAAGAGTATTCTTCCAAAACATCACAACAGAAGGACTTTTGACAAAGTGAGTTCTGCACAACCAGAGCACTACTTTTCTCACCTTGCTGTAGCTACCATGCCAATACCATTGAGTCCCTTGGAAGTCAGAAGCTACCTCCCTCACAGCAATTTTTCATCTTACAGAAACCAGAGTATTCCTGAAGTTGGTAACAGCCTGTGTCTTATTACAGTTAATGACAGTAGCCAAAAAAAAGCCCAACAGTTGGGAATACGGGAAGGCACTGAGCAATTTTAAGCAACAAAATCTGGGCTTGTGCTTTGGACAGGCTGCATTGCATGGTGAAGAAGGCAGCTGAATAACCAGGATGTATAATTTTTTTTTTCTTCACAAACAGCATGTTTTTCAATAGAATTGAAAAACTGCTGAGTGATACAGCTGAAAAATCCGAGTCTGCTGAATACAGGAAGCGGATGACAAGCTTAATGAGACACTGTAGAAGTCTCTAAAAGACTGAGCTAGGACAAAATCCAATACTTGTGGGCTGCAACTAGGTACAGGTCTTAATGGCCAAGAGATGTGTGAAAGACAATAATCTACAGGGAGTTTCTGCATTAACTTAACAAACATGCTGTTGAGCTCTCTGTAGGGAGATCATCTGTGAATGACAGCAGTTCTGCCTGGCTGCTATGCACATAGAACTAAACTGAGCATAAGCCACACTTTTTCTCTTCTCCCCTGATCTCACAGACATAAGTATGGAAGCGTTGAGACACAAGGTATAACCTGCAGGGCTGATAGGTTCTGTTATTGTAAAAATAAAATTAAAATAATCTATTCTTCCACTTATGAAATCATCTCCACTTACATTACAATTGACTCTCATGTATCACATTAACTATCTCAGAAATTTAATAAATTTGCATTTCTGTAAAAAACTGACATGCACTAAGGGAGGTGGGGGTGAGGGTGGCGTTACAGCCTTTAGGAAGCATGCATGCTTGCTACCCTTTTCCACTCATTGCGTATGAGATATAAGAGTGCCCCATAATACCACAAGGACTTTTCATGGAACTTAGGATGTCTTTGCATTCCTTTGCATTCCTAGAATAAGAACCTAAGGGATCAACAGCTCACCCTGCTCCATACATCAACTACACCTCCAGCCTCAAGCAATACAGAATTTAGAGGAGGCTGTCTTGCTGTGCTCCTTCCTAGGTTTTTCTACAAGGAATAAAAATCTTAGTTTAAGTTTTGAAGGACAAATGATAAAACCACAAGGGAAATCAGATCCTTGTCATTCCATTCAAATTCAGCACGTTTCAACTCCCAGAGAAAGCTAGGTAAGGTCAGAATCCAGATAGGTAACATGCCATTACAGTCAGCAAAGCAGCAACAACTGCATAATGAGACTGCTCAATAAAACCGTATGGCTAGACAAGTGAGTCAGTGAGGCTTTTGGACACTGCTTCACTCTATGTGACAACTACACTTTTTCAAAGAAAATGTTACATGCTTTTCTTCATTGAGTTTGATGCAACTTTTCTTCCCTCCTCAATGGAGCAACAAAAGAAACCATAGCTAGCTCCTTTTCCATAGATGAGGGATAGAAGAATTAAGCACAGAGAGAGATTAAAAATGGTAGATACAAGCTACAGACTCTAACTTTGGAGGAAAAAAACATGTACAGTCTGATTTTTTAGGTGGTCTGATGTGTTTGTTTGTTTTTTTTTTTTTATACTGTGGTACAGATTTTATGGTTGTGATATGACATTTATATGAGTTAACAGGACACCTGCGTGACCGGTTCAGTGAACACATGTACAAACACTTACCCTTAAATGTCGAATGCCTTCGAGAAGGATATCGCTTGCTGGGCCTCCTTTCAAATGTACTAGTTCTGCGTAACCTTGTCCCATGTGTCGCTTGATACTCTGTCCGCCCACTTAAAATACAGAAAAAAAATAAAGTCAGCTACTACTGCCTTTTGCTGGATGCTGCACCTCCTCCTCTGCATGAACACAAATACATTGCTGTTACTTCACTAAATACCTGAATCTGAAGCGTGATCCCAGTCTTATGAAGTCGGACCGACTAGATTTACTATTTGCTGGGGCCCGCAGTCTGAAGAAAGCATGGTGCTCCACTGCACACTTCCACAAATGTTTGCACGTTTTGGCACTGTCTAACCGGAAGACAAACGTGTGCTCTTGCTCTCTGCCCTAAATGCAGAAACAAAAGCTTTGGCAGTTGGCATGCACGGTATTAGTTACTGTCCTCAGTAGGAGAAATACAGCCTGAGCACACACCACACTTTGTCGAATCAGGCCTAAGTAAGGGAAGAAAGTTACCTGTTCATCATCTTCTACAACCACAAGCGTTAGTTTGCTCTTTTTAAAGTCCATTTTTGTGATTTTAGGCCTAAACGCAAGAAGCAAAAAGAAAATTAATGGGAACATAATATTTCGTAATCTTTGTGACTATTTTTCAACAAATATTTTGTATTTCAGAGTGGTACTTCTAATCAGGCCAATTTACCTTCAGATTCAACCTGTGGATTCAATCCACATTACAAAATATAGTCAAGACTCCACTATGTAAAGGAGAAAGATGTCAGCATTTTAACAGAAAGGAATATAACAAAAATCCAGCTTACCAAAAGAATAAGCCTATTTTGTTGGCTCCTTCAAAGATCAATATGCCTGTTGGTGTCAGTCCAAGAGCATATTCACAGCCATCTCTTCCCTGCAAGCAAGCACAGAATCAGTAACTGATATGCCATTAGGAGTGTAAATCTTAATACAATAGCATGTCAAAATCCATAGGTTTTAAACTAAACAATAAAGTTTGCATATTTTTTTAACATAACAGAGCAGAAGAACATGCATCTGTACTGGGTGCAAACTGGCAGGTTTTGGCAACAGGGTGCTGCGGGGTATCCTGCATGGGCGGAGGCCACGTGCTGTCCCAGATGGCTCTGATGGCCACGGAAACAGCCCTGCACCAACACTGCAGCCAGGAGAAACCACACCTCGTCTCATGTGTTTCAGAGCAAGCAGTAGCTGCCAGGGAAAGAAGACACAAAAGGAAAAATTGGAGGGAGATGGGGAAAGGCATGTGGAAAGGGACACTGGGGTGGACATGGCTGGAGACACATTCTTGGGAGAAGACTCTCCCTGCAGGAGGTAGTCCTTCCGAGGGACCATGACCCAGGGGCAACCCACACTGCAACAGGGACACCTCTGAGGGACTGATCCACACCAGGGCAGGGGCAACCCTGAGGGGCCATGGCCTATAGGTGCCTCACACTGGGGCAGGGACAGCCCCGAGGGACTGCAGCCCACAGAGAAACCCTGCCCAGACAGGGACAGCCCTGAAGGACAGTGGCCTGTGGGTGACCCGTGCAGCCGCAGAGGAGCAGTAAGAAGCACAAGTCAACAGAGGAAAACGAGTGAGAAGCAGGAAGCTGCACAAAAACTGTTGTGCAGATGACTCCAACCTTGTGGGCTGCCTTGGGAGGGACTGAGTGTAACCCGCAGGGAAAATGAGGGGAATTGACACTAAGAAGAGGGTAGGAGAGGTGTTAGACTGACACTGAGCTGGGGAAGGGGGAAGAAAGGTGTTTCTGTGTTTGTTTTATTGTTGGGTTTTTTTTTTGGTCGGGATCCAAATCAGCAATTAAATGTTTATGTTCACTGGCAGTATCTTAAATTAATTGAAATTCCCTGAGTCGAGACTGTTTTGCCTGAGACAGCATCTCCATTCAATGTTCTGACCCCACATTCATAAAATTAAGAATAACATGGATCTTACCTTGACTACATGCATATCTACACCATACATTTCTAGCCATTTAGCTTTGTTCAAGTAGCACAATTCGGCCTGCGCTGGGCTCTTTCCCCTAAGAGCATAAAATATATTTTACGGTAGGAAATTTTTGTCCCTTTTAAAGTCATTCCCCTAACCCTTTTCTTTGAGCCCTCAATCTTAATGACAGTAAATGGTATTTCAAACTTAGCTTATGTTTTTACCCTCTTCGCTCCAAACGAAAATAAGAGTGATGAAAATTGAAAAAGGTCTAAAATTGCCAATAAGGATGAAAGTTCAGGTAAAACAGCATCCCCAAAATATAACACATTTTTTAACAAAAGACAGGAAAAACTATTTGCTACTACCCTGAACATGAAACTTTATGTGTGCATGCGCCAAAGAGAGAGTAAGAGACTTGTTTCCAACTCAAACAGAAAAAAGATCCGACTGCTTAAACTGTTATGAAAGCGCCTAAAGAAAAACAAAGAAAAACTCACCCTGCCAATCTTTCTTAAATTACTGCTTGCCATTTCTAAGGCGAGGGAGGGCTCAAAGTCTGTCTAGAAAATTTCTCAATTGACAAACATAATCGACATTTTATGTCTGTTGCAGGGGTTCTTGTGACTGACTTTGGAAGAGAAGAAAACCTCCTTTTGCTAGAGACACCACTCCCACACAGGTATCTCTTTCCATTTCTGAAAAATGTCAAATTCCATTGCTTCGGTCTGGTTTGGTGCAAACCTGAATTCAGACACGAGTTCTGGTGTGTGCTCTGGGTGCTCACACTCTCCCAGCTCAGCTGCAATCAATCAGTTGAAAAGTTAAAATCACAAAGATCATGGGATGACCAGAAACATTTAATTCCATAATCTCCACAAAGACAATGATAGTTTACAAGTTTCTAAGTATGCTGTAGAAGAATATGCTTGTGCTCATGTTGTAAGTTGAAAAGACAACCACAAACTCAAACCAGACTGTACAGCAAAAGTCAGACAAACACATTTGCAGGAGCAGTGTAAGGTTATGACACCGAATTCTGACATTTAAGAATGTCAGAACTAAACTAGCCTAACTAAAGCCACTGCTCGTGATTTTAAAGCATTTAAATGAAAAAAAAGTTTCTATTAAAAACAAGTCAATCCACTACTGTTTCAGAAGAGGTTACTTTGAAACTTCCTCTCATTGCAATGAGGTCATACTTTTCATCCCAAAGCACTCCTCCTTCTATTGCATGCTTTGTTACATTACTGTTCGTGTCAAAACATGAAGATAATACCCAGTCTCAAGAAATCAGTGATAAAGCTGTGGGGTTTCTTTTAACACCACAGTGGTGGTGTAATATTCAGATTAAGTAATTTTTAAGGAAAGAAATGCTGAAGCATTAACACAACGGAGGTGTCACTTTCTACTTATTTAGTTAGGGTCTGGTATCTTTTCTAGGAGCAGAACATTTTCAAACTCTACCGAGCTCAGCAGGAGATGCAAGTATCGAGCATCTCAGTGACTTACTCCCTTAACTGTCTTGTGCCTGTGACATGTTTTGCTCCTGGAATCTCACTTGACACATGATGTGATTCCAAACCAGGCTTTTCTCAGTCAGTGTTTCGTGACTACTACTACTCCTCTTAAAAAAAAAAAAAAAAAAAGGCATAGAGGGAAATGAAATCCCTTGAAGAAACAGTTTGATTGCTTCAGGGCAGTTTTACACATGACAGTTGCAAAAATTTAATTCACTCTCAGCCTTCAAAAATACCTAGTAGGACACATTAGAAAATAGGAAGTTACATTCAAAATGCAACCTGTTGACTGATACACCTACTAGGTGGTTCTGAGCACTTGAGCTTTGCTCAAACATTTAGCATTCCTGAGGATATTAAACAGATTTAGTTCACTGATGTTCATTTCTAACTACTGTGTCACGCACATTTTGTCTCTTCAACGGTAATCTTCCATGGTGAGTTACAGTATTCTGATCTACACGTCTTTAACAGAGGCATCTCAGCTCTGCTTCTGTCTCATCTAAGTTCGAAGCCTATTGAACACAGATGTTGCTAAGAATTACTGGCAGTCCAGTCTCCAGTATATAAGAGGGAGCTACAACAAACGCACTAGCAAGGAGGACTTCAGGAAAAAAACAGTAAGAAACTGGAGTTTGATGTGTTGACAACTATCTAGGAAAAACACAGGAGATTTCTCTACTAGTCAAGTGAGAGAGAAGGCGGGGAATGAAGGCTGACTGTGCTGTAAAGAGGATGTGTAAGCATGAGAAGAATCATGAGCACATAGGACAAAAGATACACATAGAAGCTAGGGCAGAAGTATTAGGCACAAAAAAAATATCACCCTCGTTTCTCAATAGCTGCACTCACTATTTATTCACTTTCAGGCAAACAAACGACATCATCGTTTTGATCTCCAAGAAACAAGTCTTGAGAATAAAAGCCAGTAAGAGTCTCATCAGCTCCTCACACATGGTAGAGAGGCAGTGGACAAAGGGGAATCCGTGGGCTCTGTATGAGGATGTTCTCACTACTGCCTTCCACCAATGGCTCAGCAGCACTAACATTTTTCAACACAAGGGCACAGCAGAGGACCCATCTCTTCATTTGCGGTTTTATGACGAAGTATCATGCTTTGGCATGCCCCTTCTCCAGTTTTTTTTTCTGTTGGTGTTTTTTGCTGTGGTTTTTTTTTTTTTTTTGAGGGGGGTGGGGTGGGGAAGGATGTTACATAAGGCATTTCTATACATTATCTGTGTTGTGTAATAAAGAACTGCATAAACTGGGGGACATTTTTAAAAGGAAATTTCCTAGAAAGTTTTTGGAAACTGCAAAAACGTGTTTATCTGTAAATATACTGTTGATTCTTTTACACAGAAGGAAAAAAAAAGAGTTTACACTATCCCATGAAGAAGTCTTATGATTAGAACTGAAAACTGGGGATGTGAGAAAAAGTTTTCCTTTTAAGTTTAATTAGTAGTTTGAAAAGTATATCTGGTTAAATACGAAAGCCACGCAAGACTAATGAGGTAGTTAAAACCTCACTCTAGCACTGACGATTCAAGTTTGATTACAACCTTTCAGTAGATAGTCCCCAAGTGAAGCACAGCACTATGTAACCGCTTCACAAGTTCACCTACACTACAGATCGATCTCATTTGCTACACAAGTTCCTTCATGGGACTGGCAACAAACCAACAATTCATGTTTGAATGATGAGTCACACAAAACACCAGCCTTGGAAACTGTTGTTTAGAACAAAAAGAATTACTGTAACAGAACAACTTCCTTGATAAAGAAAATGTATGAAGTTTAAAGATGTCCTGTAAAGAGAAAAGGCTTTTCAGAGGGTTAGTGCATCAATTTCTAAATAGCCTTTTATAACTTCTTCCTCCCTCTTAGCAAAGCAACACTAAGGAGCAAGATTGGATTTCACAGCGTACATGTAACTTACTGAGGAGGGAATCATCTGACATTTCTTTAAACTCTTCTGCTTCTTATGTCAATAAAATGTACGAAATGTAATAAAAATGCTAATTATAGCACGTCAGCAGAGATAAATAAATTAGTTGCAATAATGAAATAATTTTAGAAAAACCTATTGCTATAATGTCAAAACAGTGGAAAAGTGAAACTGCAAAAATAGCAGAAAACTATAAAAATGCCACCACAATTTAAATATGTTCCCACAAGACAGCATCAAGAAGCATTAAGTTTCAGTACCTAGTTGGGGACATTATAAACATGATGGATGGCTATTGTATTAAATTTAAATAATAATCACAGGTGTCAGTTACTACCTAAAATATTGAGGCATCAATCTATTATTCTTTGCTTGGTTCTCCTTGCTTAGGCCAGGGGTGAGGGTACTGGTGTTTTTATCTTTGAAAATGGAAATCATGCATCACATAGGGGCTTCAGATTTTCTCTCTGTCAAACAGACAAACGGAGTTTGCCTGCAGCAGTTCTTTGCACATCCAACAGAGTAAGTGGAAAATGAGAAATAACTCAGTGCCGTAGGATTTACACCTGTTGGTGTTTGGAACTGAAATCCCAGTTCTGACTGCCAAGTCCATCTAGAATCACTGAGTTATCTCCATTCCTGTATTAACTAAGAGACTCTGCCTAAGTACTCCACGTGCCATCACCAACCATCAGTGAAACAAAAAGAGAATTTTTCGTTTTGATTCATTTTGTTTCTAATATGCCTCGAATGGTCCAGAACACTGCGCTTTCTTTTAGAAAAAAAAAAAAAAGAACTCGATTTGAGCTTCATTCCCATCTGCAAAACAAATTGCCTGAAATTCAATGAATACTTGCATGAATGTGTTTGCAGCAACAAAAAAATTGAAACTTTTTCCTACAATAAACTAATGAAATCTAGTGTCCTGTTTTTTGGGGTTTTTGTTTTGCTCCTGAGATAGTAATCTTAGTCCACATAATTCTCTCCTCTCCAGTGCCTGCCATCCCCTCTCTGCTGCCATGTAACCATCTCCTGTGTCATGCATCACAGAGGCTCGCTCTCCCAAGCACTGGCCAGGCAGCCCATGTTCAAAACTACACCCTCAGGGATCTGCCTGCCACAAAGCCTGTTGGTTCTTCAGGCTAAAGAGGTAACATTGTGCACACACTACAGCCTATTCCCTCAGCGAGGAACTATTTGGGGTCTTTCTTCCCCGGTCAGCCCCTGGTTTCCATGAAACCTTTGCCTATCCATGTCTTTGAGGCAGCTTTCCCTTGGCAAGCGTGCAGACGTTGGCTAATGTAGTTCACAAGTTCAGAAAGCAGGAAAGCGATCTCCCTAAAGTTGTTCTCCTCAGGTAAAGAAACGCTGTTTAGATATGATCAATGAGAAATCATTAGTATTGAAGAGTGAAAAGAAACTAGTAGGTGAGTTAATACATTAAGACAAAACACTTTTGAAAGATTCCATACCTTGAAGACACAGAGCTGCTAGTTCAACAGCAGTTTCATATGGGCATTTCAGTCTTAAAAAGAAAAAAAGAAAGATATAAAAATCATGTCTTTTTTCTCAGCAAGTTCCTCTTGCAACAAAGCTAAAAAGTAGTCTGATATATGAAATGGAAACATTAACTTCCACAAGCTATTAATGATACGAAACGTCTACAATTAATTTTTACTTACATATGATTATTTCCTAATTTGGTACATTCTAATTAGCACTAAACACATGATACACTTCACCATAAAACAAGCTTGAACTAACAGAGACAACATTAAATTGACTAAGAAACCATTTTTGCTCCAACACTGTATTTTAGAACATGTGGTTTTGAGTTTTTTTGGGTTTGTAATTAAAAAAAATAGAGGACGTGTGAATTTATTGGGTGAGACTATAAACACACAAAATACGTTTGCAGGATTGACCTGTACACAAAGTGTTGCACTTCTTCATCTTTTCCTCCTCTATTTTGCCTACCATACCATGAAAAATAGAGCAAGCTCATCTTAACATTTTCAAGTCACAAAAATCAGGACAGTCTTTGCTCTCTTTATACTTTTCCATCACCTGGTCAATCCATCAAAGATGTTTACCCATTCTATTTGTCAATAATATAGTCACGATGCACACAAAGTTATATATCTGTCTATTCTAAAGGGAAAAAAATGTACACAGCACTGTAAACCATGTTTATAATCTGTGCCCAAATACCATAAACAATTAAAATGATCACGCAGTTAAAGTAAAATTTTAAATTGCTAACTGATTAAATATTATAAATATTTTAAATTATAGCTGCAAGATCAAAGAGGTACTTACTTCCCTGAAAGAATATCTTGCCGGAGCTGTAATACAAACAGGTACCTGACAAATAAAAATTCATAAAGTCAAAAGAATATATAATGTCATCTTTCTAGCCCCAGGGGCTGGAAAAATATTTCATTTCATTGAGTAGTCACAACATTGTCATTAACTGGCGCTTAAAAAAAAGGGCCTTTGGCATCACTCTGATACAACCTACAACCTTCGAAGTCCCCACAGCTTTCACGGAAATCAAAAAGAACATTTTTCATTTACTGGCTGTGTTCAGGACACATCCAAAGCCTTGCTGTTTAGGGATGTGCTCTACCCTGAGCACACACCACAGCGACCTAAATGTTACTGACACTTCAAAGTTCTCCTGAGCCGGGTCTTGCCCAATTAAAGCAAGAATTGAACTATAGGATCTAGAGACAAAACACAGATAAAGGCATGAAGATTTAAGGGCTACCTTCTCAAACAGAAATACAGAACATGGAAAAAGTCCAAACTGGTCAAAAGGAAAAGCTCAGACTGAATTTTCACTTAAAATCACAAGAAAGTTCTGAATAAAAGAAACCTGAATTCCACAGAGCCCACACATCTATTTAGGAGGCCAAGTAGGAATCTACAGCTTTCAAACTGTAGCAGTAATCTTAAGGTCTTGCTGCTCCTCAGTTCTAGGCATGTTTCCTGCTTTACAGCCACTCGGAGTTGAGGTCTGAGGCACGCAGAAGTGCCCCAGACCGTGCAAGAGCTCTGTACAGGACAGGATGGCACAGGCACGTCCCACACTGCTCTGGACACTGCGGCATGAGGCTTGCAATGGTAAGTGACTCCAGAGAAGAAAGCATGAAGCACTGCTCAGAGCCAGCTCAGTAAATGTGAAAGTAAACCTCTGCTATCTTTGCAGAGGATGCTAGAAAGACAAAGTGTTCTTCATCACAGAGGAGGTGATGTGGACGTGGCGAAGGATGAATAGTGGGAATGGGACAGGAGAACAGAAACAAACAGGAAGATTAAGAAGACTTCTCATGATACGCTAAGGCAGTTAGATTTGTCCACATTAGCTCTGTGTCACCCCTCTGATTCAAATACTTCGCTAATACCTGACCTGTCAATCAAACCTAGGTACTGGTTTGCATAGATTAACAGGAAATATACTTGTCTACCCTTCTTATTGTTTACCCCTGACGATTCACAATCCCATGAACTCTTCTAGATTTGCAAGAAAGATCTGGGCAGTGTTTGCATCAGTGTCAGCCTGCCTGTGCAGCGCGGCAGCTCTCCTCTGGTTGGCACAGTTTACGCTTGCTCCTTTTCTGCACACAGACTGACAAAGCATCGGCATCTCCATTGTTAATATTTCCCAAATTAGCAAACTACCACAGAAAATTCTCCACGACACACACGTAGAGACATATTCCTCTGTTGTTTTCCTAACTAAACTAACTAATCAGGTCCCATAAATGTCACAGAAGATGTCTTCCAAAACACACTGGATTTCAACTGTTTTTAAATTGGAAAGACAGAGCGGGTGAAGGGTTTCCCCACTACTGTGCTTATTATGAGAATGGGATGTTTACAGCTTCACTAGAAAGCGGAGTCTACTAGAAAACAGGTCTCCACAAGGAATTCCAAACACCCCTCCAACCAGTCCAGTTCATGGTTACTGTTAATCATAATTTTTCTTCCTCCTCTTACTCCCAATCCATTTCGACTTGGAATAATTCTAGAGTACGTAGTTGCTAGTCTTCACCTTTTACACAACATGATACATGGAAAATACGATCCAGCCAGCATAAAGATTCTTAAAAAAAACTAGCAACATTCAAAATTACTTTCCACACCAAAAAAGAAAAATGCAACTTTCTGTTCACTGTAGAATCAATTTCCATCTCATTTTCGTTTTCCTTCCATAGTTTCACAGTGGTCTTCTGTCAAGCTTAGAATTAAAAAAAAAATGTTCTTAACACTGAAAATTTAGCTGAAGTGTTTTTCTAATTAAAATAGTCTTCTGAAATGCCACATTTCAGCAATAATTAGATCACAAAGCATCAGAGTTTAATACTTTCAGAGGAAATGTCTTACTCGATCACAGCAATGATCACATAGCTCAGAAACACACATCTCACAGTGACTAGGATCATATGCTTCAGAGGATGAAGCAAGAAATCTTGTGGTAGACAGTAATGGAATAATTTGACCACAGGGGAAATGTAATACTTGTCAGACATGCACCCTGATGTATGAAGACTTACATCAATTTTCAGAAAATATATATTATTCCTACTAATTTAATTGCATTTTCTCACTAGAGATGCCCCAAAATCATCCAAAATTTTTGGATTCTCTGAGATCTTATACTCAATTACGTAAGTGGCAGGGTGTTCTATAGGTTAATTATACACTGTATAGGAATATGCTCTTTTACTGAATTAACACTGCTGCACCAAATTCATAATGGATATTCAAGCCTCCATGTCAATCTCATAAGGTAGTGACAATTAGCTCTTTAATCTTGTCTCAAGTAGTAAAAAAAAAAATACATGGTCAACACAGCAGGAAGCAAACATACGTCTGCAGGCATAAGTTTAATGTGAACATCACATGCACATGAACTACAACACTCAACAATCCTTAAACACCTTAGGCTGACTGGGAGTACACTGATTATTACCAAGCAGATTAGAAGACACAGAAAGTGCCTTATGGTGAGAAACAGAACAACAACAAAAAAGATAAAATAACATCAGGATAGATGATTACTATACAAAGAAGACACAAAGTTGGCAGATACAAAAGGTAAGTAAATTCTTTTCCTCAGCTGCTCCTTTCCTGATTTTCAGAGCATTCACTAGATCACACCAGGGTGCTTCGAATCCAGCAAGGTGTAGTCCACACAGCCCAGAAAACGGATTGAAACCAGATTGAAATGGCCAGATTGAAACAAAAGACCTCAAGGTATTCTAAGGTGACTTTATACAATGCATTCTTTACACCTTTTACACCACAGAGAACGCGTGGGTAAGTGGAAGAGATTTAATAAACCAGCTGTTAACCAAGAACTCAAGCTGTCTATTCCCACAATTCTGTGGCTTTTGTACCATTATTAAATCACTTCCCAAGTGTCAGAGCAAGGGGGACAAAGCAGAGTGCTGGCATTTTAGCAGGACATGATAGAAAATCCTCTCAGAGGTATGGCAGGTGTCGCTGGGGTAAAGAGCAGCTGCCTCCCAGCTGCAGCTCTCCCCACCCAACGCTGCCTCCCTTTGCTAACTTTAAAGCACGAGAACACAGCCTCTCCCACAGACTAAAACACTTGGAGAGGTCCATGAATGTTTTTCAGCAGCAAATAACAAGCACGATGTTTATCTGAAAGTAAGAAAACACCTAAGTTGTCAGACACAATGACCACTCTCGTGAAAAAGCTAGTATGAAAGCTCATTGTATGAAAGCTCAAATCACCTGCTTACAGTACCCCCACGTACCTTAGATGTCTTATTTACCCCTCTGCCAGTCACCCAGTTAATCATGCTTAGTTCCTACCTTGTAAACTCCTCATGAAGGTTGTTCGGTTCCGACGAATAGTACTTAATTCGAAAATGCAAGGTGTATGGAGGTCCAACTGTATATGTAGAGATTTTAAAAGGGGAAAAAGAAAGTTCACGCTAGTTGCAGTTCTGCTAAGGTAGAACAACAGCCACCGCTCCACGGCCCAAGAAACCCCAAATGAAGTATGTTTTTCAAGTCTTCAAAGAAGCAAATATTTCATGTTTTTAAATTTAAAAATGCAATAATAATAATAATAAAAAAGATTATTACCATACTTTATGACACTCTAATGATTAGATTAATCAAGCAGCAGTCCATTTGGCAAACACATTTCTGTTCAGAGAGGTGTGCCTTGCAGCAAGCTCTGAATGACAGCAAGTTCATGGTACGCTGGGGCAGGATGAGATGGAAGGGAAAGGGAGGGAGAGGGTGATGCTTCCTGTTACCAGGCCCAAACACAACTCCAAAAAAATCCCCACCCCAAAGATCAGCTTTCGATTGACAGACGTGAATGAGAAAAGGTAAGATAACTACAGTGAAAAGTGCTGGAGAGGACTCTGGAAGGCACCCATCAACACAGAAAGCTAACAAATTCCACAAAGTGGAGTAGCAAGAATTGTTGTTTTCTAATGCCAGAAGGTGAATGCTAGGTCTGACTTCCTATGTAAAACAGATAATAAAATGTTACCCAGCTACCATGAAATTGTGACCAATGCATCCTTATCTGCCTAAGCCTCATCTTTCAGACCAATAGCCTGCTGGTATATTAAGTGCTGGAAAAATAACTGTTTTTCACACCTTTCTAAGGTCTTCTGTAACACCACACCAACACAGTATGTATGTGCCTATTAATGACTGTGGTGGTTTAACCCCAATGGAACTAAGCGCCAGGCAGCCGCTTGCTTACTTTCCCCTGCCCTCAACAGGATGGGAAGGAGAATCAGGAAAAAAACTCATAAATTAAGGTAAAAACAGTTTAACAAGAAAGGAAAAAAACAACCAACCAAACAAAAAATCCCCAAATAATGATAATAAAACAATATACAAAATAAGCAATGCACAACACAATTGCTTACCACCCACTGACCAATGCTTAGCCTGTTCCTGAGCAGCAATCATGCCACCCGCCCCAGGCAGCTTCCCCAGTTTATATACTGAGCATGATGTTACATGGTATGGAATATCCCTTTTGTTAGTTTGGGTCAGTTGTCCTGGCTATGCTCCCTCTCATCTTCTTGTGCACCTGGTAGAGCATGGGAAGCTGAAAGTCCTTGACTGCTTAGCAAAAGCTAAAAACGTCAATGTAGTATCAATATTGTTCTCATACTAAATCTGAAAACATAGCACTATACCAGCTACTAAGAAGAAAATTACATCTATCCCAGTCAAAACCAAGACAATGATCCATTCTATTAAATGACGTGCAGCTAAAACTGTAATAATCAGAGCTTCGACATTATCTCCAATGATAGCTCCTAGAAGACAGGTTATAGTACCCTAGGCTGCCAGTTAGGCACCACTGGTAAGGTCTGCATCAGCCAGATAATGCCTCTTACCTACCCACTGCTGGGGGGAAAAAAAAGAGCAGTGAGCAACATCCATCCTGAAAGAGGAACTCTTCTCAAAGCACCTGCCGAATGCAAGGTAAAGAAAAGTATCCTGTTGTGAGACAGATCTTCACTACACTCATCAAATTGCTTCCCTTTCGGCATATTCCTCTGGGCAAGGCTTAGCAAATTTCTTTTTAAAACAGGCCCTTCACAGATTAAACACAGACAAAACTGTTCAACTGAACTGGTTGAAAGTGTTACAGAATCATTGATTTTCCCCATTTTAAGACAGATCAAGAAAAGGACAAAGCTATCACAGAAAGCAAACCTGCAAATCACTTAGTCACTTAGGGTAAAGCAGTCTGTGATGTGACGAAACGGTGAGAGAAAGCCAACCACCAAAATCTTACCCATAGCAGCTATTTTTACCACCTATTCTAGCAGACTGACACCCACACACCGCGGGCTGAAAGCAAACTATCCAAAAGGCCTTCAAAGAACTCCTCCATCGTTTCCAAAAATCACCTAGATACTTGGACACTTATTAGAAAGAAAGGCAAAGCACCACAGAAGCAATCAAGACCCATCTCTGTGAGGTCCTGCAAGGGAGTCAACAATTTCCTTGCAAAATGCAGTATTATCAGTTGGCCTGTGGCTGTTGCCAACTGCAGTATATTACGAAAATGCGTTAGGGCTGATGCTGTACTGTACACAAGCCTGCAACCAGATTATTAGAGATCCAGAAGCAACTTGCCTGCCCTGGCCAATTTGGACAAACAACTCACTTGGCTAAACCCAACCCCTCCATCCAAAACTCCCTTTGATGAAACAGCACGTACTTCTGCTAGTTTTACTTATAATATACCTTATAGATGTAAGAGGTTAACTGTCACACAACGAAATATTTTCCATTTACTCCTTGGAAAAAACTTAGGAAATCTGTTCTGGATCAGAAGCAGTGACAGAAACTGCAGTCTGTGTCCAGGCAACCTGATTTCACAAATGAAATTGAAATTACCTGGCAACCTACTCTGCCTCAGATAAACAGCACATGTTTAACAAGGGCTACCGAAGGCTGGTTTACTGCTTATAAGTACTTTTGCATTTAGATATGACATAGTCAGCCAATTCAACATTAAATTAAACCTATTTCCTAAGAAAAATTTATTCCATTAAAGGCCATATTCAAACATTCACAATCACGTTCAAAGACTCTAAATTCAAATCCTTAAAGAAGTAACAAAATAAACAGGCAGAGATGCGGTACTTACTTTTTATTTGCTTCTTAATGAATTTTGAATGGTCCAACCAGTGCTAAAAAAAGAAAATCCACGTTTAAAAGCAGTTCCATTTCAAGATTTTGTTGACAAAACAAACTAATTACAGTAAAATTTAACACATAAAAATCTCTTAAAAGGAAATATTGCTGTATTTAGTTGCTAAACTTCTATACATTTGCAAAAATGTTTATTTGCACATTTACCAACTTACCTTCTTTCATGGGGAAAAGCTTGACTTATAAATGCCTCAGTGCTGCCAGGGAAGTTTCACTCTTCCAGAGAGGAAACCTCAAAATCCGAAGGCACAAAGCAGCGGTATGTAAGGAAAATACCCTTTCATCCCCAGATTTAACCGTTGCCCAAGTACCCCTGAGGACAGCAGGCCAAACTCTTGGCTTTCCTTCTCTTTTCAACTCCTCTGTTTGATGGAGGAGATGATTTCCAGATCCTGTACTGTCCTGCCTTCCACTGCTCCATAGCCAAGCTTTCTAAAGCTAAGGATGAAGACTTAACACCCACTAAAAGCATTTGGGAAACACTGATGCATACTTCACTCCCCCTTTTAAACTAAGCAAAAGATCTTGAATAGATATAATTGTGACGACAAAAAAGTATGCTTCCAAGCAAAGTTTATGCACTCACTCTCGTCAGTGCAAGTTGCATCCACAGAAGAGTAGCAATAAACTCTCTCTAGTGTAAATTTAGCTTAAATCTTTCACAGTCTCTGTGATATGTCCTGCACAAGGTTGCAATCTAATTTGAAGCAACCCCATGTAAACACAGTATTTGAAGTTTCTTTCAATAAACGTTTTTCTATCTTTATGCATATATTTAAAATAACAAAACAGGTACTATGGAACAAAAGCTTAGGAGAAAAAAATGACTTCCTTCCTCCCTATTAAAGCATTCGTGCTTTCAAGAAAAGGAGAATCTCTGACTCCTTATCACTCCACTAATACTGCGCTACCATGGCTAAATAAATGTGAAAAATTATTTGTTGGACAGTAACACTGGTATTTATTTACTAAGTATGTCCTAAGCCAAGGCAAAAGTTCATTTGTCACAGGTGTAGAATGGTATAGATCAAAAGTCTGACAACTTAAGACCCTTGAGGTAAAGAAATCTCACCAAAAAAAGAGTGAGAGAAAGAGAAATGGAACAATTATTCTGAAGGGGCTTTTATTTGCATGAGACTTGCTAGACTCCCTTAGGTGAGGCTGCCAAGGAATCCATCCTTATAATCTGAGAAACCTCTACCAGAGTAGAAATAAAACATTAAAGCCGCTCATACAAATACATTTCTTAGAGTTGCAAGTAATTTGTTGTATCACCAATTTGTTCTCCTAAGAATTACACCAGAAACCACAGCAGTTCACAGAAGCTTTGTGAAATTTCCAATTTTTGGTAAGGAAAAAATATCAACATTGAAACTTTGCTTTTTTTCACTGAAACTATACAAGACTCTTACTATCACACCTCCGGGACAGATTAATTTTTATGCTTCAAATAAAGCTACAAATATGTCTTTCTCCTCAGTATTTATTCTGTCTAAAGACAAATCACTCACAAATATACTGATTCCATCAAAAGAAAAAATTAGCTTCATGTTACCTCCTCCTAAGACCACTATCTGAGTATCCATTGGTATGAATTTTGGGAACCTTTCATAGAATCATAGAATGGTTAGGATTGGAAGGGACCATAAAGACCATCTAGTTCCAGCCCCCCTGCCATGGGCAGGGAAACCCTCCACTACACCAGGTTGCCCAAAGCCTCATCCAACCTGGCCTTGAACCTCCAGGGATGGGGCATCCACAACTTCTCTGGGCAACCTGTTCCAGTGCCTCACCACCCTCAATGTAAAGAATTTCTTTCTTATATCTAACATAAAGCTGCCCTCTTTCAGTTTAAATCCATTGCCCCTTGTCCTATCACTACACACCCTTGTAAAAAGTCCCTATCCAGCTTTCCTGTAGGCCCCTTTAGGTACTGGAAAGCTGCTATAAGATCACCCGGAAGCCTTCTCTTCTGCAGGCTGAACAGCCCCAACTCTCTCAGCCTGTCTTCATAGCAGAGGTGCTCCAGCCCTCAGATCATCTTCGTGGCCCTCCTCTGGACTCATTCCAGTAGCTCCATGTCCTTCTTGTGTTGGGGACTCCAGAGCTGAACACAGTATTCCGGGTGGGGTCTCACCAGAGCAGAGTAGAGGGGCAGAATCACCTCCCTTGACCTGCTGGCCACGCTCCTTTTGATGCAGCCCAGGATACAGTTGGCTTTCTGGGCTGCAAGCGCACATTGCCGGCTCATGTTGAGCTTC